CTGAAAGTGATAAATATAGAGAACTTCTTTAAGATCATTGACTAGAATATCTAGACAATCTTATCAGCATTCATTATAGCTAACAGATCGGTTAGAAACATAGTGCTAATGATCGCAACCAGAGAAAGAGCAACAAGAGAAGCTATAAATGTGTTTAGTTGACTAATACAACTTGAAAAGAACGTGTATACTTGTGCTAATACTGTACTTCTACACACGCTGCACACTACGGAGAAACTTGAAAACATCCTTGCATAACATAAAATCCCCACTCAAGAACGTGAATTTGAACGACTACAATAAATTGCTCACTGATAAAACCAAACGCCAGCCCGGCTCACGACATCTGGCCGCCAGCTGTTTAAAGATCATACACAAAAAAAATCTAAAATCACAACCCTTATTATGAGCGACTCCACCGAAATCAGTCGGGTTTCTACAAATAACTATTTTACCGATTCATTGAAAAATAATTAAAAGAACAGTCATTCTTTTTTTAATCAGAAGGTAAACTGCCCACAAGCTGACGTTTTGCATCATTTCAGCCAAACCGTATTTCGCATAGTCGTACAGTTCGATATAAAAGCGTTTCTGTGTTTGAAACACGGGCGACTTCAGAACTATTTTAGACTTTGCAGGTCACGCTACTCCTTCTAGGTCAACTGAAATGTTTACTCCGTTGCTAAACGCTGCTGGAAAACAAACTTTCCAGAAGAAAACCCCTCACCTGCCTCTCAGCAACCAGAGCAACAACAGCGAGCGGGGCCACGCTTGACCTTCTTCCGCTCTGGGACGGAAGTGTCGTATGTTCGTTTTCTGACCTTCTTCCTGTCTGAGCTGTCCTGCTGACAGGAGGGATTCCATTCGCACGCAGTCGGGTCACGTTGTAAAGACAGCGGCCCGCCGTATTACTGCATCACCACTTCGGTAGAGGGACTTCGGGCTCCTGTGCAGCCACACAATGCGTGATGCAGCTGGGCTCTCACTTCGATAGTTAATAGGTGGTCTTTGATTGTTCTCAATAACTACAGGACTACAGCATGCAGATCAATCCCAGCAGCAGTGTGAACAGAGGCTACAGCAGGATTACAGAATAGAGATGAATCCCAGCAGCAGTATGAACAGGGACAGTAGCAG